GTGCATTACGCTGCAGTAGGCACCTAGAGTGCATTAGTGCAGATTGTGTACAGGGCTGTAGCTTATGAGCCACGAGGAGGACACTGGGGAGGACGACCGGAGGATATCGCGATCGGCTAGACGCCCAATTGCCCACCTGCCATTAGGACCGGAGGGCGACAGATTTCTGTTCTGCCAGCTTAGGGAGAGGCAGCAGCCGCAGAGGCTAGCAGGGCACTTGCGAGTGAAGCCGCAGCTTCAGAAGCCATGGCCACCTCAGCACAGCAGTCTACTCAGGCCGGTAGTTCAGGGTCTGTTGGGTCAACGGTCGCGCAGACCCAGAGTCAGTCCGCTGGCGTAATGGCAAGCCAGCCACTAGTGTTAACGACCAAAGAGTTCGCCATATAACAAGCAGCATTGCAGGAGGCACAGCTACAGAAGGCGTTAGGAGATATAAAAGCGGAGAAAGAAAGAATGATTAGAAGAAGAGCCAGGATGCAACGTAGACAAGCGGACGTCAGTGAGTTAGAGGAGGTGGACCTGACGCTCATGTCCGATGATGTGAGGATCATACGGTCTGCCCTGCTAAATATAGTTGAGATGCAGGACCATCAGACGACCATTCTTCAGGACATCCAGCAAAGTCTGGCCCTGTTGGCTGGTCGTGCGCAGGCAACATCGCCGATGTCTGGGCCTGGTGCCTGGCCCGTTGTACATCCTCCTCCTTATGTCCCACCGGTGACTGGGGTATCCCCATATGTAGCCCCATCATCAGTAGCGATCGTTTCCCTGGGCATGCTGCTTTCAGAAGGGGTATCAGCTGGCCCGTTGCAGGTTGCGGTCACCACGCAGCCTGCTGTCTCGCAGCCTGTGCAGCCGCAGGGCACACAGCCCCAGCAGCTAGCACAGCAACCTGTGTCACAGGGTCCACAACCGGGAGTGATGCAGGGACCGGGACAAACACAGTGGGTCCCAAAGACGGCCATCGCCGCTCCGAAACCCTTCGTAGGGGATAAGAGAGGTGAAGACCTCGACACGTGGTTGAGGGCAGTGCCAATCTATGTCAGGTGTAAACTTACCTTGCCGCACGAAGAAGTGCTTGTGGCTGCTTCCTACCTAGAGGGTAGTGCAGCAAGATGGTTGAGTGGTTTAGTGCAGCTCCAGGGGTATGGTGATGACTTTCGCGCTTGGGCGGTCACCCAGAAATTGGAGGACTTCCTGAAGATGGTAGAGGAAAGGTGGCACGATCCTCAGGAGGCCCAAAGGGCCACTGACGTGATCCTGACACTGCACACACGACAGTTTAAGTCAGTAAGGGAAGCCACCGACGCTGTTGAGCGTCTGATCCGTGTCCCAGGGGTGCGTTATGACCCCCAGGTTTTACTTACCTCGTACCTGAGATGCTTCTCTTTGCCTCTCAGGAACCAGCTGGCAAGTCAGGCCAACATCAATATGCACAACTTTCCTTCGTTTAGCAAGATGGCCCTAGACCTTGAGGCGAAGATAGGGCTTGGACAAGCACCCACTACGAATGGCAGGAAGAAGACGCTGCCTCCCAACTGGAAGGCGAAGGGCCGCTTAATGTTTGTCGATAACGATGGTTCTACTATCGAGCTAGACGACAACTTCCAGGAGGGAGTAGGTTCAGAGGCGGGCAGCGTAGAAGCTTCAGGGGGTGGAGTAGCCGCTGCTGTAAGGCGACCGGTAGACGCTGTGGAGGTTCCCGGTCTAGGAGTCAAGTTGACCCCAATGCTCCTCCATGGGAGAAAGCGGGTCTTACAGAGGACGTGTGGAGAGATCGTTATTCACGGCAGGCTTGTATTCGTTGTGGCCAATATGGCCATAACCAGTTCAAGTGCCGCAATAAGAAGGTGACCGATAAGTTCCCACCTACAATGGGGCAGGTGTTGGGATCCTCCCATACCGTTGGTAGCAACGTGGCTAGTTCTTCTAGCAGTGCTCCGGGAAACACGTCGGGCCAGTAGGAATAGTAGTTGTTYCTGCTAGGGTCGAGGTGGTGGAGACACCCTCACCATCTCGAGAGATGGCCCAAGCTACTGACTCCAGCGTCGTCCCGCAAACACGTTCAGACCCATCGAGCCTCTGTTCCATGAATATGTTTGAGTCCTTAGAGGAGCTAGAAGAGGAGTGGTCTAGATCAGACCCACTAGCTTCTTGGACGGCACTAGTCAAAGCCCCGAAGGGTGAGATATTCGTCAGCGAGGTAGTCATTGGCGGCCGCAAGGCCGGGGCCTATTATGACACTTGCTCGACAAACAACTTCATTAGTCGCGCGTGCGTTGAGAGGCTGCGTTTACAGGGGCGAGTGCAGCGCCTGAGTTGACCTGTGGAGTCGACCTGTGCCAACAAACAGCACATGGTAGCCAACGACTACCTCCAGGATGTGGAGTGTTGTTTCCCGTACGCGAGAGGGGAATTGAGACATCGCGTCTCATTCCTAGTGAGTGACGAGCTTCCAATGGATATGTTACTAGGAATGTACTACCTCTCTGTGGCTCAGCCCCAGTTTGACTGGGACCGAAAAGTGGTCAAACACACTTTGCCAGGTGGGGGGACCGTCAGATTACACAAGTTCAAAGTTAGTAGTCTGATCGAGTCCCATGGTTGCATGTGTGCGGCCGCGTTCTACAACTATTAGAAGCAAAAACCAGGAGGAGGGTATGTACCTAGTTTATGTCTCTGTTGCAGGCAAGCCGGTAAAAATGCCGCCGGAGATAGAGGGAGTGGTTGCCAAGTACCCTGATCTATTTGAAGGGCCGACAGGGGTTGTAGAGAGGGAGGTCGTCCACGCGATAGAGTTTATCCCAGGGTCTAGTATCCCGAAGGGTAGGATCTATCCGATGTATCCAGTCGAGCTCGATGAGCTTCGCCGACAACTCAAGGAACTCGTAGAGAAGGGTTGAATCCGGCCGAGTGTCTCTCCTTATGGATCTCCAGTACTATTCGTACCTAAGAAGGAGGGTACACTTAGGATGTGCATTGACTATAGGGGCCTCAATGCCATCACTGTAAAGAACAGAGAGCCCCTACCGCGCATCGATGATCTGCTAGATAGAGTGCAAGGGTGTCGGTACTTCAGTAAGATAGATCTGAAGTCCGCGTACCATCAGATTGCAATCCGGCCCGAGGATCAACACAAAACAGCCTTTCAAACCAGGTACGGTCCGTACGAGTTTGTGGTGATGCCTTTCAGCCTTTGCAATGCTCCTGGCACCTTTCAGCACGCTATGAATCGGATATTCCATGACTACTTGGATAAGTATGTCATCGTGTACCTCGATGACATACTTATTTTTAGTAAGACCGTCGAGGAGCACGTTGCACATTTGGACAAAGTCCTCAGTCTCCTGCGACAGCACAAGTTCAAGATCAACGGTGAGAAGTGTGAGTTTGGCCACACCCATGTCTTGTACTTGGTCATGAGATATCCGCGAAAGGGTTGAAGCCCGATGACGCGAAGGTGGCCAGCATTCGTGATTGGCCGCGTCCTCGGTCTGTGACTGAGATGAGATCATTCTTAGGGATGACCGGCTACTATCGCAACTTTGTGGAGAACTATAGCATAGTTGCCGCCCCTTTGACCCGCCTTGACACCCCATGGGAGTGGACTGAGAGATGCGAGGCTGCTTTCAGACATCTGAAGCATGCGTTGACGCATTACGAAGTCTTGAAACTTCCTGATCCTGACAAGCCCTTTATAGTGACTACGGATGCCAGCCAATATGGCATAGGCGTCGTGCTTGCACAATAGGAGGGGAAAAAGTTGAGGCCTGTAGAGTACATGTCCAAAAAGATGCCCTCTTAGAAGTTGGCTAAGTCCACCTATGAGAAGGAACTCTATGCGGTTTACAAGGCTCTGACCCATTGGAGACATTATCTCCTTGGGAGGTTCTTCATCCTCAGGACTGATCATCTGACTCTGAGACGGATGATAACTCAGCCTGTACTCTCTGACGCCCTCGAGCGTTGGATCGAAGTCATAGAGCAGTATGACTTCGTGCCCCAGTACATCAAGGATGAGTACAACAAGGTTGTTGATGCCTTGTCGCATAGGCCTGATTTCTCAGGTGCGCTGATTACTGAGTTTGGGCTTGAGGACAGTGTTACTCAGTCTTTGGTAGAAGCCTATCGCGAGGACCCGTTTATGGCCGAGATCATACGCAGACTAGAGGCGAAGGACAAAAGAACTTCTGCCGAGTTTGAGTTGATCAACGGCCTTCTGTTCCTTGTGAAGGCAGGAAATAAACGTCTGTGTGTTCCGAATAGCAAGTTTTTGCGTAGTTTATTTTTAGGAGAATGTCATGATGCCACCGGACATTTTGGTTTTAAGAAAACTGCAGCCAATTTGTTGCAGCGGTTCTGGTGGCCCACGATGATGAGAGACGCAAAGTTGTACGTGGAGACTTGTCAGATCTGTCAAAGAGACAAGCCACATACTCAGGCTCCTCTTGAGCTCCTGAAGCCCCTTCCGATTCCGGAAAGGCCTGGTGAGAGCTTGTCCATGGACTTCATGGATACGCTGGTCACCAGCAAGAGTGGAATGCGCTACGTCTACGTTATTGTGGATAGGTTTAGTAAGTTTGCTAGATTAGTTGCAATGCCTGAGACAGCGAAGACTGAGCATGTAATTAAGCTGTTTAATTAAGCTGTTCAAAGAGATCTGGGTTAGAGATTTTGGTTTGCCAAAGTCTATAGTCGGTGACCGTGATGTGCGATTCACAAGTGAATTGTGGAAAGCCGCAGCTGCTGAACAGGGAACGCAGCTGCAGATGACATCAGGAAACCATCCCGAGGCGAATGGACAAGCAGAACAGTTGAACCGCACTGTACAACACCTGCTGAGGCATTATATTAAGCCAAATCAGGTAGACTGGGATGAGAAACTTGCTCTCATTGCCAGCCTGTACAATAACGCGGTGCACAGCGCAACGGGCGTGAGCCCGAATAGTCTGCTAGTAACTTTTAAACCTAGACTGCCCTTGGATTTCCTACTACCTGACAACCAGCCCTCTGCTGCACCAGGAACTTTAGAGCTTGCTTATCGATATGAGCAGCTGATGCAGCAGGCTGTTGAGCACATGCACAAGGCGCAGGCAGCGATGATAGAGTCTGAGAACAAACACCGCCGCCCATCTACGTTTCAGGTAGGGGAGAGAGTCTGGGTCAAGTCCTCAGAACTGGGACAGGAGCACAGGATCTCCCGCAAGCTCATGCCACAGTACTTTGGACCATGGGAGATTCTGGATGTTGTCGGGGATGAGCCAGATGGGCCGTCTTATGTTATTCACATCCCTGGTCACTTACGCACCTACCCTGTTTTTCACGCCTCCAAACTTGCACCTTTTAAAGAAACAGATCAATTTCCCTCTCGTCACTCAATGCTGCCCCCAACCATGGACGGAGAGGTGGATATCGATGACATCGTGGACCACAGAGAGCTGCCAGCGCCAAGACCCGCAGGCAGGGGACGTCCTCCGAGACCGAAGCTGCAGTACCGCGTTCGGTTCTGGCATCACACTGATCCGAAGGAGGACCGCTGGTTCACCAGGGAAGAACTCATGCAGACCGCTCCGCAAGTTTCCCTCCATCGCAACTTGCGTTCCGGCATCTACAACTGGCGTTCCAGCATCTACAACTCGCGTTCCGGCATCTACAACTCGCGTTCCGGCATCTACAACTTGCTCCGGCATCTACAACTTGCGGAGCGGTCTGCATGAGTTCTTCCCTGGTGAACCAGCGGTCCTCCTTCGGATCTGTGTGATGCCGGAACCGAACGCGGTACTGCAGCTTTGGTTTCGGAGGACGTCCCCTGCCTGTTTCACCTCCGCAAGTGTGAACGCGTTCACCAGGGAAGAACGGAAAAAATCTAATGCTGGTTCATCAGGGAAGAACCAGCGTTCGGAGTCAACTTTTTTCCGGCATCTAAAACTTCCCTGGTGGACCAGCGTTCGGAACACTTCACTGGTGAACCAGCATTTTGCATGAGTTCTTCCCTGGTGAACCAACCTTCGGAACACTTCGGAACACTTGTGGAGCGGTTCCCTGGTGAACCAGCGTTCAGAACACTTCGGAATCAACTTTTTTCCGAACGCTGGTTCACCAGGGAAGAACTCATGCAGACCGCTCCGCAAGTTGTAGATGCAGGAACGCAAGTTCATATACCGCGTTCGGTTCCGGCATCACACTACGAGAGATCTCTGCAGAAGGGAAAGCGCCCTATGATTTAAGACTGAGCTTCTCAGAGGACTGTCGAAGCTAAGGAGGAGGGAATGCGAGGCCACTGCCTCTATGAGCCCCATTCAGCCCCCATTTTGGAGCCCATCGGCCGCCCTAAGTGAAGGCAGGCTCGACAGACCCTCAGGGCCCTACTTTGGCCACTGCGCAACTAAGGAAATTCAGGCAGTTGCGCAGCATCAGTTGGTTGAAAGAATCCAGGCCCTGGGCCGCCTTTGTGAATGTATGGAAAGCAGGCCCTGGGCTGGATACAGGTACTGAGCCAAAGACATGACAAAGGCAGTTGGGCGCATGCAACCACCTCAGGCCCCAGGCCTGTCCTCGATCGTGCTAAGCCTCAGGCTACCGGGGCCTACTGGAAGCTTCCTGGGACTGGACGCAGGCAGGCCACTTCGATATAGCAAAGGGCCTGCCTCCTCATTGGATATTCGGGTGCTGGCTGCATGCTGCGCAAGCGCTGCTGCGCTATTTGCTGGCCGGTGCCTACGCGCTCACAGGCGAGCAGGGAAGGAGCAGGCAGCCATAGCCGAGCTGCGCTGCTGTGAGCTGGGTGTGGCGCAGGGTGGTCCTTGGGTGCAAGTGGCATCTGTGTGTTGGGGAACGAGGTTGTGAGTAAGGNTAGCCGAGCTGCGCTGCTGTGAGCTGGGTGTGGCGCAGGGTGGTCCTTGGGTGCAAGTGGCATCTGTGTGTTGGGGAACGAGGTTGTGAGTAAGGCGAGAGACATACCTGGTGCTGGAAGCGAGCGACATTGGTCGCTGTATGCTCGTACTTCGGAAGAGCTGTTGTCGTCAACTTCGGCATTGTAGTATAGGCTAGATAGGATCTGGCACATGTAGTCTGGGCGCCGAGCGCCAGATAGGATATCAACTCTGGTTCTTCGTTGATGATGATGATGGGACTATTTCAGCATTGTCAATTATGAACTCTTGGTGTGTTCTCATTTGGTGTATCTCGTGATGCAATTCTGCTGTTGGTTTGAGGTCACGACTATCTGGACTCGTATGTATGATGCTGTTTGAATGCTGGAGTTCGCTATAGCTCATCTTCCTTGCAAATGATATGAATCATATGATAATCGGAAGTTCTTATATACGTGATTATTTAGTATATATTTTAACAGTCTGTGTGAGAGAGAGAGAGAGCAACACACACACACACACACAACATACACTCACACACACACACACACACACACACACACACACACACACACACACCCCTCGCGGGCGATAACGGGGACGAAGATGAAGAAGGGGGAGGTCCTGATCGGGGTCAGGGGTGGAGGCGCTGACTGGAGATCGGTGGGGGAATCGGGGGAGTCGGGGAAGGGTCAGGGGTAATCGGGGGCGGAACGTCCGGGTGAGGGGGGTGCGTAGTTGGGGATGAAGGCGGGGGAGTCGGGATCGGGGGGAAGAAGTTGAGGAGGGAGGTGAGGGGGTCGCGATTGCTGTTGGGCGCGATCGAGGTCGGGGTAAGTCGGGGGGGGGGAAGAAGATTGCCGGTGGGGAAGAACGGTGCGCGGGGGCCGGGAAATCAGGTTGCGAGGAAGATAGCACGGGGGGAAGTCGGGTGTTAGGGGGGGAAATGCGCGGGGGGGGGGAGGAAGATCGAGAGTCGGGGAGGGGAGGTTGCGCGGGAGCGGGATCGGAGTCGCGACAAAGAAAAAGAAGAAGGAGAAGAAGAAGAAGATAAGAAGAAGAAAAATAAATAAATAAATAAAAATTGTCGTCGATTACTTATCTGCGCGGTGGCAACGGCGATGTCGAGGATGGCACGGCGTGGCGACGAGGACGACGGGCACGACGATGGCGACGTGGCATGACGATGACGAGCGTGACGCTGACGATGATGTCGTGGCACGACGCGACGATCACGACGATGATGATGATGACGTGGCACGACGGCGACGGTCACGACGATGACGTGGTGCTACGACGACGATCACGACGATGATGCTGATGATGGCCAGGTGGTGACAACGAAGCAGGGTGGGTCAGGCGGGTTCGAACCGCTCCGATACCAGTGTGACGGGGCTGAGGCAACGAGGCTGGGAGAGAGAGGGAGAGAGTGAGAGCACACATACTCACTCAACTCGACACAGACTCGACACGACTCGACGGACGCAGACAAGAAGTGGCAAAGTCGCAAAGTCGAAGTCTTGGGTTTTCGAACACCATGTCGAAGCGAGTCACACTGAGTACGAGTACAACAGGAAACTGGTACGAGACTGGTCCCCGTACCGTACGGGGAGCGGGTATAAGTACCGGTGACACGTACGGTACCAGGGCCATTTCTGCAAAGGCCCCGAGGGCAGAACTGAAAAATGCGGTATTTGAAAGTGGCGCCCGAATTGCAGCATGGCGCCAGTTGTTCAAAATCCTACGGTACCAAAGGACGGGTTTGGAAAAAGGGTGCCAGGCCGAAAACGGCATGCAGCCGAAACAGCAAAAAGATAGACCAGGGATCGAACCCTGGCGGAGTCCGTAACAGAAGGTGTAGAAGAAGAAGAAGAACAACAACAACAACAACAACAACAAGGTGAAGAAGAAAAAGAATTAAGGCCTGCAATTGATCGGAAAAGAAAAAGAAATTCGAAGTAGGTGGGTGATGGTTGGAAGAAGACGACGACGAAGAAGAAGAAGAAGACGATAGACCCACGATGGTTTTGGGAAAAAAAATTGAGGTACGTGGATGATGGCTGATAGTGGGAAGAAGAAGAAGAAGAAGAAGAAGAAGAAGAAGAAGAAGAAGAAGAAGAAGAAGAAGAAGAAGAAGACGCTTCGCGTCTGCGATTCGAGCCTCTATGAATGTGCTTTTATGGCATGCTTTGTTTCCTCTACTGTTGCCAGTTGAAGGTAAGCCATATGCCCCTAGTGTGAAGTTCGGTCGCACACTTTGATACCTATAGGTGACCTTACGGCCGCCCTCAAAACCACATTCGTAAGCTTGACCTTACGGCCGCCCTCAAAACCACATTCGTAAGCTGACAGTTTTTCCGGATAAGTTAGGCTGGATGAAGAAGGAAATAAGAAAGAAAGGCCAATTAAGATGAAAGAAAGTAGTAAACTAATGACCAAATACACACAAATAGGTGCAAGGTCCATAAACCAATCACACTTTGTTTTGTGAGGAGAATAGTTCCAATGGTAGAACAATGGTCTCCAAAACCATAGGTTAAGGGTTCGAATCCCTTTTCTCCTGTAATGTATAGCAGTGCCTGCACCTTCAGAAGTCCCAAATAAATGGTTCATTGAATCTGGTTCTTGTGCATAGACACTCCAATTTCCCGTAAAAAAAGGT